GTTGAGCGATAGTGAATGATGGATGAGTACGATGATGATAATGACGATGATGCTGATGATGCTGATGATGCTGATGAAATATGGATGGTGATGATGATGCTGATGATACTGATGAGCATGATGATGATGATGACGACGATGACGATGATGATGATGATGATGGTGGTGATGATGATGATGATGATGATGGTGATGATGATGATGTTGATGATGATGATGTTGATGATGATGACGATGAGCAGATGATGAGGATATCTGGAGCAGTTTGCTATGTTTTAGCACTCCTAGGGGGGGGGCGCCAGGGGTATCTCACGGCCTCCGTTCGCGCCCAAATGGCGGGGATGTCTCAGGCGGTTTGCCTTCTCTGGTCGCGATCATCCTTCGTTTTCGGAGCAGATTCTGAGGATGTCTCAGGCGAGGCGCCTCGTAAGGGGGAACCGCCAAGGGTATCTCACGGCCTCCGTTCGCGCGCAGATTGCGGGGATGTCTCAGGCGGCGTGCCTGTTTTGGTCGCGAACGTCCCCCGCTTTCGGAGCAGATTCTGAGGATGTCTCGTGCGAGGCGCTGGTTATCGCACCCCAGGCGGCCCAGATTACGAGGATGTCTCGAGCGGCGTGCTCGTTTTGGTGGCCAGACTCGTCTGCGCTCAGAGCAGATTCTGAGGATGTCTCGAGCGGCTTGCTAGTTTTAGCACTCCCAATGGGGGGGGCGTCAGGGGTGTTGCACGGCCTCCGTTCGCGCCCAGATTGCGGGGATGTCTCGAGCGGTTTGCGTGTTTCCTGACCCAACATCCTTTACTTTCGGAAAGCAGATTTGGAGGATGTCGCTTGCGAGGCGCTGGTTTTCGCACCCCAGGGGGCCCAGATTGCCAGGAAGTCTAGAGCGGTTTCACGTATGGTCCTATAGATCAGGCCTCACCTGGGGCACGAATCTTTAGTCCTTTCCCTATGTTCGTATGGTTTGCCCTTCTCCTGTGGCTCCAATCCCATGTGTTTACGTATGCTCCTATAGATTGGGCGTCCTGTGGTGCACGAATCCGTGGCGTTTTACGTATGTTCCTATAGATTGTCCTTCTCCTGTGCGGCTGAGGAGGAGAAGGAGGAGGAGGAGGAGGCGGAGGAAGAGGAGGAAGAGAAGGAGGAGCAGGGGGGAAGCATCGACCTGGGAGCGGCGAGACGTCGCCGAGAGAACGGCGGTAGGCCGCCGCCGGCGAATCCGCACGCTCCAGGGCGGGGTGGGGCCATCGGGCCCCTAGCGGCGATCACTGGGCGATTGGGGTCGATGCATTCCCACTCTGAGCCTATCCCCCCGGATGCTGCCCCGGTGGTTTTCGGATCATGACTCGGGCCTCTGACGGCCATTCGGAACGAGCCTGGCACCCCCGGGACGCCCTCGGCGAGGCGCAGCTGCTGGAGAGCATCCTGAGGCTGGAAAACCGCTGAGGGCCGACGAGAACCGACAAAAAAACCTCAGACCTCGAGCACCCCCTCAAGCCGACGTCCCCCTGATCCTATCCCACCCCTGAGCCTATCCCCGCCCGACGCTGCCCCTGACCCAGGGAGGGGGAGCGCGGCCTTGGGGGGGGGGGGGGGGCTCCGCGGCGCCCCTCCCGACACTGCCCTTGACAAGGAGTACAGCTCTAGTTGTCGATTCTTGATGTTCGGAAATCCACGGTCGGCCCGTATCAGAAGAATGTGCGATAAGGATGTAAGGGTCTTGGACGCCCATTTCGAAGCTTTTCAAGCGGGGCGCGGCCAACGAAAGTGGCCAAGGATGGGCCGAGGAGGCAAGGATGCAAGGGTGCCTTGGGAAGGTTGCCCATCCTTGCGATGCGGGTCGACTGTACGTGCATGCCGTGGTTTGTGCCTCTGGATGCGCCTTCCTGGTCTTGCCATTTGTCTTCTTCCCGTTGTCACTACACTGCCATGGGAGACCAGTGCAACTCCCGCCGTCGATTTGCGTGGTGTCGTCGCCCTCGAGGTCTCGTCGTGCTTGGCCTCTGGGGGTAGTTTTTTTGTTCGGGCCCTGGGGATGGAAGAAACGGACACACATGATGAAACTACTCCCGGGGAAGTCCCCCGGACTGTTCTTCGACGCGACCTGCGAGACTTGCATTACTGCTCAATTGGGGAAGTAAAACATAATAATAATAATGATAATAATAATAATAAATAATACTAATAATAATAATAATGATAATAATAATAATAATAATGATAATAATAATAACAACAACAACCAACAACAACAACCAACAACAACAACAACAATCATGTTAAGACTGTTCGCCCTTATATGCTCGCGTGTCGTCCAATAACGCGTATTTCCCAAACCTTCGATACCCGCCCTCTTCGTCTTGGATCGAACCCCTTTTGGGGGGTATACCTTCTTCCCTGCAGGCCGGGCCCCGGCAAGCGGCGGGGCGGCCGCGGACCGTCGGCCTGGCCAGCGGCAGCGCTGATCGGCGGGGCGGCCGCGGACCGTCGACCCGACCCCAAGAGGGACGGACAGGGGACCGACCACGACGACGACGACGACGACGACGACGGCGACGACGAGCGAAAGCGAGAGCGAGAGAAAACGACAGCAGGGCCACGAAGGGCACGAAGTAGGCCACGAAGGGCGACAGCGGGGACACGAAGGGAATGCGTACGGGGCCACGAAGAGCGCGAACGAGCGGGGGCCACGAAGTGCAGATAATGCGGGGCCACAGAAGGCAACTATGGGGCCACTGAGGGTAGCAACTGGGCCACGTAGGACAGTGAGGGGGACACGAATGGCGACAGCGGGGCCACGAAGGGCATGCACATGGGGCCACAACGGGCGCGACTCCTGGGTGCCTGGGTGTCGGGAGCGCGGCGCTTGGGCAAATTGCAGGAAATTCCAACGCAAGGCCATTCTTCAGTAAGTTGCAAGCAAGTCTCCAGCGAGAGCACGACTCCAGAGCGCCGGGAGAGCGATTCCTTGATAAATTGTTAGGAAGTCCCAAGCGAGAGCGCTTCCTGAATAAAATGCGGAGAAGTCTCGGGCGGGAGCGGGGGCCCTGGCTAAATTGTAAGGAATCTCAGGCGGGAGCCGTTGTTTTTGTAACCCGGGGGCCAGGGGCCCAGTTTGAGCAGGAAGACTTTCCCTGTCAAAAAACAGAGTGCGAGCGTCGAGGGGCACACTTTTATTGAGAAAAACAGTATGCACCGGTGGGGGGGATCAACAGTAATCATTCTTCAGAAATGAGAATTCAACGAGCTGCATAAACGCAATCTGTCGACGCTCCGCGCGGAGGGCCCCCCTATGAGGGAGCGAACAAAAAGCAAGGGACAACCGCCGTTGTCTCGACGGTCCTTACGACAAGTTCGCGTCGTGTCGACTTCGGCGTTGGTTTCTGACACCGCGGGGATCGTTCAACCTTACACGATCGGCCGTTTGCGAAACATCCCAATCGTTCCACATCGAACGATTCTGGGTCGCCCGTTGCGTTCAACGTTGAACGCGGCTGGCGGGGTCGCCGCCGGTCGACACGACACGAGCCTACCGTAGTTAACGTTGCGCCGGAGGGGTGAATGCACGGGGGAGTCCTCCCAGGGGAGCTCTGGCGATGCCCGGTCTCGGCGACGAGCCCGGGTGGGAGCCGCGAGAGGGCAGGCCTGCTCAGAGGGCGGCGGGGTTGCCCAGAAGCCCTTTCGCGCGCTTGGCATCGCTCGGACGTCCGTTTCCTGTGGTTCTCCACTTCGTGCGTGTATTATTCGCAGGGCGATCCAAGATGCTCCACGATGATCGTCGCCGAGAACACATGCACACGGTCACACGTCCGAGCGATGCCAAGCTTCTGAGAAGTGTTTCCATAAGGAGCCGAACTCTGCACCGACGCGTGTTCCGGGCCTTCTCTGGAACTTGCAAACAATAAAGCGGATCCTGGTGTATACGGGATCCTGGTGTATACATTTTTCGTTGTTTCCCCAAGACAACGGAGAAACAAGTATACACCACACCACCCCGACGTCGTCCTCGACCCTAAAAAAGTCCTGGGATTGAAAAACAGCCCGCCACTGGTAATGTATAGGTTCCAATATCCGATCTAAGCCGTCTCTGAAGGCACGGACGGCTTCTCAGAAGGCGCGAGGGCCTCTGAAGAGCCACGCCGCCTTCTGAAGTGGCAGCTCATGGAAGCCTCCCATACCATCTTGCTGGTCCTTGCGAATCGACCTTTTTAAACGCTGATCGACGCTAGATCTACGTTAATGGGCGCTGATGTATCCTAAATCGGCGCTACCTCTATAGCCAAGCGCTTATCTACGCTAACGCACCGTAAAGACCGAACTGCGAGGGTACACAAGGCTCCCACGATTCGGCTACATGTAAGAGCGCGTCCGCCCTAAGGGCATGCCAGGCACCCACTGGGTGGCAGTCGCCGTCGGAGGCAACATCCAAAAAGGCCAAACACCCTCTCTGACCAGCAACGGGTAGGCTCCTACCTCCTGGATTTCTGGGATCGCCTTCCCTGGGCGAAATCCCGCGATGCTGGGCAAGAGTGCCCCTTTGGTGCGCCACTCAACGGGGGACGCGGGGTGGTCAAACCAGGGCGCGCAAGTCGCTGCTGGCGCCTCGCGATCAGCGATCGGGGGACTCCCCCTGGCCCGCACCAAAGGCCACTCCGGCGACGGGTCACTCTTACGTGTAGTCGAGAGGCTACCCAGACATCCGCCGATCTGATTTTTTCAATCCGCGGTCCCAGAGGTCGTGGCGAAGCGATGATGGTGATGAAACAGCCCATCATCACCTCGTCACGACCTCTGGGACCAAATCACGGTCCCATCAACAACCCTTTCCCAGGGGATAGTTTTTCGTCCTGGATCCATTTGGGATGGCCCCCGGGCCCGATCACGGGCTCCGGAGGCCGAACTCAAGGAAAGACTTCTGGCTCCCACGATTTGAAACCGAAGCTCCCCCTGGGCTCGTCGCCGAGCACGGGTCCTGCAGCTATGTCTCGCTCCGCCGGCTCGCTCCAGGACGGGCATCGCGCAGTCGCAGTCGGTGAGCACGGTGCACGCAGCTCCTGCTCTCGCGGGGGGTGGCAAGAAGAGAGCACGCTGCATCTTCAGAGGCCTCCTAGATGTAGTCCTTGCAGATGTGGTCGGAGGATCGCGCCGCATCGCCGACACATCGGCGATGCATCGGCAATGCATCGGCGATGCATCGGCGATGTACCGGCGATGCACCGGCGATGCACCAGCGACGTCGGCGATGCATCGGCGACGTCGGCGTGAAGGAAATCGGGCCCGCATCGGGCCGCATCGGCGATGCATCGCCGATGCGGCGCGATCCTCCGACCCCATCTACTACGACCCCATCTAGGAGACCTAGAACGTTGCATCTTCGGGTGCCCCTTCACGAGCGCCCAACAAGCCGGTATCCGCACCCTCGCAGTCGGGATCCCGGGGCACGACCCCGTGGATACGTGCGGTCGTACGGATGCGTTCGGCGGCGGGGCATCCGCGAAAGAGCGTCCCGCATCCGCGTGGTGGTCGCGGCTTGTGGGCCCGGCCCGCGAGGCCGCAGATACGGTCAGGTCGGGCATGTCCTCCTGCAGGCGGACCTTGGAAAAACAAAATACAAACCCGCCGACCCTATCGGCGTGTGGAACACGTATCCTGGTCTCGTCATATTGCGTGGGTCGTCGTCGTCGTCGTCGTCGTCGTCGTCGTCGTCGTCGTCGCCCACGCCGCCCACGAGATCGTCACGTCGGCTCCAGGAGGGGTGGTCGGCTCCCCTCGGGGGAGGGGAGCTGCCCACAACACCGCCACGTCGGCTCCAAGAGGGGGAGTGGTCGGCTCCCCCCGGCAGGAAGGGAGCGGCCGCGACCCGGGGGAAGCCCATCTGCGCTGCCCGGGCGAGGGGAGCGGCCGCGAGCGACACGGGAGGGAAACCAATCTGAGCAACGGGACCAATCTGAGCCCCTTCCCTTTGATCCCTCCCCCCGAGTCCAATTTTCGGCGAGCGTGACCCAAGACGTCTGCGATGTTTGCATGCTAGTCTGACTGCTACCACATCTCTGCTAAGCGCTACCTGTATCATGATTATGGTCCGCCTGGTTTGTAAGAAGGATCAATATAACTAACAGTTAAATATTACAAAATGCAAAAATACCGTTCCTCGGACCCGACAAAAGAGGGTAGAGCAATATTTCTACCCTACGGGTACGTTAAGAAAACGATATATTGCATATCGAAGTTAAAATAGTCGTGGTCGAACGGCAGCTTCTTGCTTGAACTATAACCATAACTGGTAAAATTGCCCATCATGTCATGTGCCATGAGAAACGTGATATATCCTGTTCGGGTCGTCTAACTGCAGACAGATGCGGAGTGCGTTGAATTCTGAAACCATACTACAGCCCGCCGACCTTATGTACACTATGTCGGTCAGCGATAATATCTCGATATAAGAAGCCTCCAATCTCGAAGAGATTCCTGTACTCTGTGTCTTAATCCAAATCCTGGAGCTTTGTCGCCATACACACCGATGGAGATTCTGCCCATGATGGTTTCATGCTGATCAGGTCGCCCTCGGTCACTGTCACTGCGGGAGCGTCGATAGTGGCCACCAAGCATTCCATGCCCTTGGTCTCCACGCACCAGTAGCCGTAGGTGAGTAGGTCGCAGAGGATCTCCGATATCATACGGTTCGTCAACCCATCTGCCACCATGGCTGACGTCGGACACAAAAATAGCCCGATGTAGCCGCGTAGCCTATCTTCTCGAACCGAGAGCACATACAGTCGTTGATGCCGGTCTTGAGGTACGCCCTTGAGTCCGACGCTGAGCGCGAAGAAGTCCCTGCAATCTGACCAAATGCTCTGTTGGTATTGCGAACTCAGCGTAATCCTGAATCTGCATCAACTGCGCCACCGTACTTGGATGCCTGGTGCGAATAACTCCGTCAGTCGCAGAACAATCATCTGAGCCAATTCTTTGCCAACTTCGCCTGCCGACGCTTCTGCCCGTGGTGTGCTACCTGAAACTCTCTTGGCCTTGTGAGACAGCGAAGCTATGTGACAAAACTTGCTGAGCTGCTGCTTGGAGTCACACACCTGCTGGCAGCGAACGGACGTGGTCTCTACGACCTGCACGCGCTTGTCCGAACCCAACAAGATAAGCACTGCCTCTTGGGCATAAGAGCTTCCTGAGGTAGCCCACTTGAGTCCGCCGCCGTGTCGATCATGAATGGCTGTGAGATCTTTGGGAAGTAGAGCCCGACGTTAGCCGCGTACTTCTTCACGCGAGCCAGTGGTGAATTGGTCATCTTGATATTCTTGATCGTTGCTGATGCCGTGTTCAGCTGGATAATCACTGCGTCTGCAATCGCATCCAATCGTGTCTGACATAGCCACAGCAAACCACCCAAGAGCCCACGGAATGCCTTGAGCTCCGTAGTGGCAAGAAGCGAGTCGTCCTGGGCTGCTTTAGTCCTTCCGAAAGGAACTGGTTGACAGTTCTGGCAAAACTCGTCCTGGGACATTCGAATGCCGAAGTCGGTCTGCTCGTGTCTGGCCCCCACATGATTCATAGGTGGCTGCTGTCGCGTAGCTCCCCCAAATATGTCTGAGAACTTGCGGTGGGATTCGTTGAGCCACTCGTTATTGCTCGCGTTGTTGCTGTCGTTCGCATGGGAAGTCGCGATTGCCTTGAGCTCTCCTGGGGATTCCATCCAGCAGTAAAACATATCAAACGCTGAGGGTCTGCCGCCAACCGCCTCTGTCACAATATCTGCATGGCCACCGGAAACGCCAGGTGCATCGTTCAGCCCGTACATTGCCTTGAGACACTCCAGAACCCAAGCGCTCAAGCTGCATTGCAGCGAGGGAACATGAAACGCCTTAGGGTCGATGTTCCTGAGGTGTCGCCAGACGTTGGCTGGTGGAATGATGTACACCTGCCGCTCTGGTGTCTTGATGCCGCGCTTGCGCAGAACCTCGTGCATGTCCTTGAAGGGTAGGCCCTTCAGGAATGCACCTGTGACGTCCCAGCTCTCGATGGTAAGGGCATATAGCGCTGCCAACGGGACCAACAGCCGCGGTGACAACCGAGTCGCCGTAGTAGCTCGCTTCGGGAGTGATGCGCCTTGGCCGTCAAGAAAGCCCCTGGCGCACAGTCTGCTCTTGACGATCCACTTCATTTCGTTGCCAACCCTGATCTGCTTCCACTTGCGACCCCAGACGCAATCAACTGGAGCCTGCTTTTACTTGCTCATGGGCATCGGCATCCACGCGGTAGCCTCGACGAACTGCTTGATATCCTCGAGGTCTGCTGCCTCGACCAGGTCGAAGTGTTCCACCGCGTCGTTCGGCTCGAGGATAAGCGAACCCGTGGCCGATGCGAAGCACTCGCCAGTGAAGATGCTGAGATAAAAGCAGTGGTCCCCAGGAAACGGTCCATCGAAGGATATGTAAGCCTGACTGCGAGTCCAGCTGCTTGGTAGTTCGTCGCCGCCAGCGAGGTTGAAGCCTTCGACGTCTGAGCAAAAATGTTCAGCTACAAGCGCCTGCTGCTCCATCATGGACTTGTGATATTCGCCCCCGTAGCCCTTCAGTTCGGGAACTAAGTCGACACGCTTGGCGAAGAACTGGTGATGCTCAAGTAGCTCTTGCCAAGCCGAGCAGTAGAACACATCAGACGATCCAGAGTGCAATTCCTCACGCTTGATACCATGAGTAGACCAAGACCTGTCATCGTGCTCAGGATTGTAGTCGATGGTCTTGTCCTCGTCGTGGTTACGAGACTGCTTCTGAGGGGGTGCTCGATGGTTGCGTCCGGTGAGTCCTAATGTACTGGAAGGTGAACCGATCTGGGCCGCTCGTCATCATGCTGTGGATGCTCCAGTGTCGGCTCTGCTGCCTCTGCTGCTCGATCCGCGCGAGGTGGATGCTCGGTAGTCGGTTGATCAGCTGCTTCTCGTACTTGTTCTGGTGGAGCTGGATACTCCATGGTAGGTTGTTCCGCCGCGTCCTGTATTTTGTTCGAGTCCCTGTCGAGCCTGCGTGGTCTGCCCCGATCGTGGTCGCCGATCGGGTCGGTGCCTTCACTTTGATCTGATCCGGAAATAGGTCGCACAGGGCCCTGCTCCCCCGACGATGCTGCTGCTTGCGAGTCACTCGCAGGTGTTGGCGGTGAGCTCGTGTCAGGGCTGTCGAACTTGACGCGCTGACCTCGTCGCTCTCGTATCCAATCGCCGTCGGCCCTTAGTCGTGGACTGAGCCTTGATGTAGAGCCGCGCTTCAGGATGGATGTCTGTGTCCGAGATCTGTCGCCGTCGTGTTCACGAACTTCTGCCTCTGGTGCAGCATGTCCTGAACGAGCTGCGTCCATGTCCACAGGTACTTCAAGAAGCGCCACTTGTCGCCAGTCCGGTGAAGCTGGAGCCTGAGGTGCTGGAAATATCGGTGTCGTCGGAATCTGCTGAGGTGGTGCCGATGCCTTAGGCGAGGTCGGTGCTCGACGTGGTGCTGGATTTCGCGGAACAAATTCTTCATCAGATATGCTGATATCGTGATCCACCGCCACAGCTCGCTTTTGACCGCCATCTGGCACAGGTCGACTTGGACGATCATCAGGAGGTCGAGGAGGCGCAGGTGGCACCAATATAGAAGTGCCTGACCTCGACGCCGTTTCGAGCGTGCTGTCCATGTGCTGTGACTGATCAGTCGGTGGGAAGGCAAACCGAGGTACCACAGGCTGTCGAGGTATCTGTGGTGGTCGCCCAGGAGGCTGTGGAGGCCGAGGAGGCTGTGGTTGGTCGTCAGTCTCCATGACTGTATCGTCGTAGCCTGGAGGCTTCCACCACTCCGTCGGAGGTGGCGATGGTAGAAACAGCGTAGGAGGTGTCCAGGGACCGTCGTCCATCTGCTCGATGCTCGAGATGTCCGATCGGTCTGGTACTGCGTCCTGAATCACGGTCTCCTCGTACTGCTCTGAGACATAGATGACGAACGAATAGTTACTCGGCGTGTCTGGCAAGATGGTAGCCAGCCGCAGAGTATGTCCCATATCCACTTGTCGC